GTACTACTTATTTTTTCATCACCTATACTAAGATATGTTCTTGCTGTTACATGATTTGACATGTTAAAAATCAATTTGGGGGGATTTTAAAACACCTGTAAACATAAAAAAACTATTTGTAGTGTACGCTATTTTCCCGTGCAAGCCAATAGAACTTCGACTGAGCGGCTGCAGTATAGTTCGACACTTATTTATTAATTGTAGGTGATACATTTATCCCATTATACTCTTGTGTTACATGATTTGAATGTTATAAATATTCATGCAGTTACATCTGTGGCATGGCTTCAAAACATGACAGCATAAGGAGCAGACAATGTTTACCTTGTAACATCCAACCTTCAATTTAACAGCAGTATAGCATAGCAGACGCTCGTGCGTGCGCACATGGAGTTATCTATGTAAACTTACCATATAAGCTCAATGACAATGTGGCAACGTCGCGAGTTCATGTGGGCGCGCCATACCCTTCCAACCCCATTTAGGGGTAGTTTGGAACGTATTTTCAATCGCCTCTCATTTAAAAGCTATTTGCCCTAAAAAATTAATCCAAACGGGGTTCGGTTCAGAAAAAATTGCTCTACACGCTGTTCCTGGGAAATGCCACCGTTACATATCATGCTGTATAGGCTGTAGATAACTTAAGAACGTACCAACAGTTCTATCTATTCTGAAATAAAAACTTGGAAGCCTAAATTAGGGAGGTAACCACAAAACAAGTTTTGACGGTCAGAAAGGTAACATGCTCAGGTTCTCTTCTAAAAATACAAAGTATTTGTCACTGCAGTGAATAAATATTTTTTTATGGATGTACATCGAACATTTTGTTTACATGTAAGTAATACTCATTTTTTGGTCTCAGCACCCCAAATTGCCACCTTTTTAAATATAAATCATAGTTATGAGTATTTATAAAAAAGTACTGCGATGTTTTAAATTACTGGCATTCCACATCGACTACTTACTTCCTCCAATAAGTTTCGGGTTCCATCTGACCTTAAATGATTCAGTACAAGGTCGAGCACTTGTCCTAATTCTGCTCTTATAAGCAGCTTTTCTAACGTTATATTCAAAAATTATTTGTTTACTTTTAATTATTATCTTTTGTTACAATGAAAATATATATGCTTACTGTCTTATTTTACTTCCAATAGATATTGATGAAATATCAAATTTATAGCTCATCATGAATGAGATGAAAATTAAGATTAATGTGATTTTAATGTTATAAAATATATTTTTGCAATTCTAATTATGTTAATAAATTTTGTAGGTCGCATAATAAGATTGATGTAATTAACCAAGTATCTTATCCAGAGCTTCAATACTTAGATCTAAGCAATAACAAAATATATAAAATTCAAAAGAGCACTTTTTTTACATCCCAATTAAGAAGTTTGTAAGTAATATTTGATCGATTTTCGTTAAATGTATAAAAAAATTTTAAGTCATTAACATTGTGATGTGTATTTATAGAAATCTCAACTCTAATCAACTTAAAAATATAGAAAACGACAGCTTCAAGTACTTGAGCTCTTTGCAAGAATTACGATTGAATAAGAATCACTTACTTGACTTGAAAGATTATCTTCGAAAGCTTGACAAGCTACGTATACTGTAAGTAAAAAACCATGAATAAAATTTAACAAAATATTAACCAACTGTTATGTAACATAATTATTGGAATATTGACAAACCAACTGCATGTACAAAGATTTGTTTCAATTTATTAATACATTTTTGTATACCTTGTTCGTTTCATACTCCAGTACAATATTTAAAAAGTACAAAGTGCTTGATTATGAGTTTTTAAGTCTTACATTTTTATGTAATTTTTAAGAAATACTTAATATTTTTTGTTTGTAGTGGTTTGCTTCATAGTAGAAGTGACGAAATGCAGTAGCATGATAATCGATGTTTTATTGTGTCTTTGAATGATTATATATTTGAATTTTTGAATACGATAAACAATAATTATAATAATAATAATAATAATAATAATATTGATGATGATGATGATG